CACTCCCCCTGCTTGTGTTCCCTCTCTCACTGTGTCGCTGTCAAATAAATAAAATCTTAAAAAAAAAAAAAAGAACACAAGCTTTATAGACTGCCTGGATTCAACTGCCATTTCCAACAAAGCCTGGATGACCTTGGGCACAGCACTTAATTTTTCTGTGCTTCAGTTTCTTCATGAGTAAAATTAATAACAATATCTACTTCATATAACAGTTGTGAGGATTATTTGAGTATATTGAGTACAGAGTTTAGCATAGTGCCTGGCACAGAGCATGCACTGAATAAATGCTATCATTCCAGGTAGCGTGCAGGAGTTAATTTTTCTGTGAACTTGGCCTGCCGCCACCACCAGACTTGCTGCTTTGGAGCTGGAGGCTACAGTACTTCTTTCCTTTGCCAGTGGGCCAGACTGCGTATAGGGATGGGAAAAAAGGGAATCATTCTCTACCTTGCCAGTCTTTTGAGGGAAGGGACAGTTTCATAACTGAATACCTGTGGTACTTAGAATTGAGAACCCCAGATATATGTTTAAAGGAATTGGTGTTTCCTCAACATTTGCCTGAACTGAATGGGGAAAGGGAATCTTCCATACCTCCCCCCACTTTATACTCCTGATGAGGAAAGGAAAATGCTCCTCCCTTCTCTATGGCAGAGGTCAAGCCAGGTCCTGGACTAAGACTGAAAACCATGTTTTTAGAAAGAATGGTTTCCAATCTTCATTTCTTGACTTTATGATAAACAAATACAGTCAGTGTTAGTGTAGAGCTAACCCGCTATATGCTTCATGCCAAGGTCTCCGGCCTGGGGTCTTAACACTTAGCCTCACCTGCCAACCCCAAGCAACAACCTTATAGCCCTGACTTCTTAAGAATCTATAATTGAGGATCTTAAATATTTAAAGTCTAATACAGTGTCAACTCTAGAAAGGCACACTGTTCTTTGATGAGGATTTGGTAATAGCAAATCCATTCAGGGTATAGACACTGGAGCCATACTGTCTAGGTTCAAACCCCAACTCCACCGTTCATTAGCTGTGTGATCTTAAACAAGCTACTTAATCCCTCTGTGTCTCAATACCTTTATCTGTAAAATGTGCAAAATAATAAGTACCTGCCTCACAGAATTGTTGTGAAAATTAAATTAGTTTATACATATAAAATGAGTTCATAAAAAGACTTGCATATAGTAAGCACCTGAAAAATGTTAGCTACTATTATTACTCCTAAAAATAACATGAATCAGGGCGCCTGGGTGGCTCAGTTGGTTAAGCGACTGCCTTGGGCTCAGGTCATGATCCTGGAGTCCCGGGATTGAGTCCCGGATCGGGCTCCCTGCTCAGCGGGGGGTCTGCTTCTCCCTCTGACCTTCCCCCCTCTCTTGCTCTCTCTCTCATTCTCTCTCAAATAAATAAAATCTTCAAAAAAAAATAATAACATGAATCAAATCGCATGGCACCTATGCAATGGGAGGATATTATAAGAAATTATATAGGCAAATGGTGCCTTTTAGGCAAATACAATTTTTTTCACAAAGTAGATAAACTAATTAAGCCCTAGTTTTTGTTTTGCAACTCAGAATTTCCACTTAATTAAGATTACTGAAATGTGAACATGTGTACCAGTCTCTTCCTTGGGGGGAGGGAGGGTTGGTTCTACTTTTCTGGGGAATGATCAGGAAATGACCCACTAGGTTAGGCAGTGAGTCCTGGGACCCCCTCCTCATACTTGGAGGTGGAGGTGCATCAAACATTTTCCTCCTCAGGCCACCAGGAGTACCTGTTTGGCAGGTAAGTATGTGGGGGTGGGACAGAGGAGCAGCATCTCCCCCTCAGCCATCTGCACCTACTGTGGAAACAGCTTTTCGCTCCTTTCACTCTGAGCTCAAGGGCTCGGGGAGAAGGCCAGGTAGCTTCCCTCTGGACAGAGGCAAGAGCAGACAGTGGAGGCTGCAGGTCCCAGAAGCTGTGTTAAAGAATGCAGCAGTGCCCTCTGCTGGGAGGCACATGCGCGGCACTCCAGGAGAAGAGCCCTGGCCAACCTTGCAAACCTCAGTCCAGCAACAGCCCTTCTTCCCTCCCACTCACTGAAAAAAGGTGTCCCTGCTCCAGAACTCGGGAAGAGGTCACTTTTATTTCTATTCTGTCTCATCCAGGTGTCAGAGATCTTTGTCCTTTTCTAGTCCTGGGCTAGCACTCCCACTAGGTTAATGTGGGAGAGTGACAATGTTTAGTCAATTCCACTGCCACCCCAGGCCATAGGGCTGTATCTCACTACGAAGACGAAAACCTACTTGCCTAAAGAGCTCTAAGAACGGAAAGCCTGGGATAGTGCCGAAGAATGCACTTTAAAAGGTCTTCCTAAAAAAAAACAAGTAAATAAAAGGTCTTCCTTAAGTCTAACAGCTCGTTTGCTACTTTTCTATCCTTTTATTCCTACCTTCAGACAGAACATATCTCTACTTCCAACTATCCCAAGTCATCTCTGTGAGATGTAAAATGAAGTCAAGGAAAGAGTTGGGAAATGGGAAAAGTCAAAATTCCATTGAGGTTGTAGATAAGGAATCTTTTAAAGCCCAACTCACCTATAACCTGATTTAGAGATGCCAATCACCTTGGTTTTCTGCGCCTAGTTATCACAGAGTGCTGAGTGTGGGGCACACTTTTAAGGTATCCCATACTTGGAATGGTCCAGGAAAGGAAAGCTGAGATACCGCTAAAGAATACAACTTGAAAGGTTTTCCTTAAGGGGTGCCTGGGTGGCTCAATTGGTTAAGTGAGCCCTGCCTCGGGCTCTGAGCTGGGCAGGGAGATTCTTTCTCTCTCTCCCTCTCCCCACTACCCCACCCCTTGCTAAAAAAAAGAAGAAAAAAAAGCTTTTCCTTAATTCCAGAGCAGTGGTTTTCAAGCCTCAGCATGCATCAGAATCACCTGAAAGGGAAAAATTTTAAAACCCCAAATTCTGAGCCCTCAGAGGTTTTGATTTAGTGGGTCTGCTGTGAGGCCTGAAAATTTACATTTCAAACAAGTTCAGATGATCCCTATGGTCCAGGGCCCAAATCTGAGAACCACTGGTCTAGAGAAAAGCACCTTGGCCTCAACTATAAATCAAGATTGTTACACCTTTTTCTGAAGGAGACTAATTTGGTGATCTCTTTCTTATAAAGATCTTCTAGGAGTAGACTGGGCTCACAATCAAATCTCTCATTCTGTAGTGTTTATTTTCCCATTTAAGAAAAAGAGAGAGAAGGAAACAAAGAAGGCAAGTACAGAGAAAGAAGATGGGCAACTCTTTGCACAGGCAGAAGACCAGGGAAAGCGCTGGCTGGCTTGTGAGAAGACAAGTCTAAATGGGAAGAGAATGCAAACACTTCCCAAAGCAACAAATCTCCATATAACTCAAGGCTACAGCCTTCTAGAGCCAGCTCCAGGACTCAGTCACCAGCCAGCAGCTCTGCTAAAACCAACACCCAGGCCTGGAATTTCATTAGCTTGGCATCTTGTTGGTTTGCAGACATCTTTTAACAATCTTGGGTTTAGCCACATACAACATGGCCTCTTTCTGCTCAGCATTTCTACAGTGTCTTTTGGTGACTCCTAGACAGCCAACCACTGACCCACTATCATGGGCTCACATCCTTCACCAGTAAGGCAATCTGCTCCTGCAGCTGCCGCTCTCCTTCCCATGCTTTGCTCTGGCTTCGACACCTCAGCAGCTCAGCCTTATGGTCTTGATGATGCATAGGGCAGTAGCTCTGTGGTTCGCACAGCTCCTGAAAGGTAGGGGACAAAGTAAGGGATACTCTAGTCTCCAGAACTTCCTACGAGGTATAATAGAGATGCTGCTGGTGGTAGCTAAGAAGGAGAAGTAGTTTCCTCTCAGAGGGCTTTGCAGGCCATGGAAGTTGCATGCTCAAGTTGGCTCCCCCCAAACCTGAGCTCTCCTGTTGCCCCATATGCCCCATCCTTTACCGTATATTCTGGAAAGAAGTCTTTGTAGCCCCCTTTGAGGATATATAGTTCTGGGTAGTACAATGCAGGATACTGGTTCAGAGCCCTGTCCTCTTCTCTCAGAGAGCGGCACCTTTAGAGAAAACCCAGAGGTGGGTGGGTGGAAAGAAGCAAAGTCAGGATTCCATGTGCCATTCACTGGGGAGGGGAAGGAAGAAAAAAGACTATGGGTAACCCAAAAGGACCTCCAGATCTGTCTTTGCAAAACAAGATTCAAGCAGTCACTCTTTCTCCTCCTCATTCCCAATCCTTTTTCCTTCACTGCTCCAAACTTTTAAATTGTAGAAACCTTTCTTTCTACCTCCCTAACCTTTAAACTACAATGGAAAGAATGCATTCATTCATTCCAGTCTCTGTCTGTACTGGTCTGGGAAGGTTCTCTGGTTTTAAGTCCCAATTCAAGGGCCATTTCTAACACCCACCCAAACCCATGTAGACACTCACATTCGGGGACCCCTCTCTGAGGAGAATTCACAGTGGAACACGATGATTATTCTTTTCTGGGTGTCCAGAGGGACAATGGGCTTCTTCAGAAAGAAGTCATACAGTTCTTCCTGACTGTACAAGTTTAAGGCTCCCTGTAGAAAAATTTCAGTATTTTCTTAAGGGGCTGTGGATAGTTCCAACACTTAGAAATAACTGGGATACCATCTTGGGATATTTGGGCCAGGAAGTCTAGACTGTAAGCACTTTCAGGGCATAAGATCTAATTATATCTCTGTGTCTATCCCCAAGGTCTACCATGAGCTTGGCATGTAGTAGGTACTCAATAAATGTTTGTAGATCTGACCCCCCCTAAATCTGCAGGAATCATTGTGAAGAATGTCTATGAGTGTCTGCAAAGTGCTTCTCAGTCTTTGGATTAATATTTTATTTCCAAGTAGGAGCCCTTGGCTCCAACAGAATAAAAGGAGATTGGTCTAGGAGGGAAAGGGAAAGTAAATTACCCAAGGTATACAGAATTAGAACAGGAATGAGGACTTGCAGCCTTTATGTGCTCCAAAAGTAGAACCTCTGCCTTGGTTCTGGAGTTCATAGGACTTTTGTCCACATACTCTTCTCATTAAAGAGCTACCTCCAGCCCCTGCCCACTAATGTCCCCAATGTAACCTCACCTGGATGTGTCCTCCCAGGTACTCATATGGATAGCGGCAATCGATGATATAAAACTTCTCAATCAGACTCTGGAACTTCCCTGACAGTAAGGCAGCCACCTACACAGAAATGTTCCCTTCACTCTGGGAGACAAGAGTCAATCACACAATTCCTGATTTGTACTCCCTTTAGTCACCCAGGATTCCACTGTATGCCCAGTCTCCAAAGGTCCCCTATATTTGAAATGGGGCAATGATTCATCCCTACCGCTCATTCAAGAGGATAAAATATGAAATGGTCTTTTTGGAGCACCAAAATAGCTGGTATTGCCAAGACACCAGGGAAAAGCATATTCAAGGCACTCATCTGGAGGCAGGCATGGCTGCAATCAGCCTCTCAGGAGACACCCAAGGACTTCTGTAGTAGTACAGGTAGCAGCAAGTGATTCCGACTTTGCAAGAAGAAATGGGAAATGGTCCCATCATAAAGGAAGAAAGCAAGTCTTTCAGGAAAGGATATGGAAGGAAAGGGTTGATATCCTTAAGCTACTTGTAGGAGTATACATTGATTCAACCTTTCTGGGGCGAACTTTGTAATGTAAATGTAATTATACTTTGACTCAGCAATCTCTTTCCCAACATCTTTAGTGAACAGAAAAGTATGCAAAGATGTGGCACAATAATATTCATCTTAGCCATTATTTTAGGTTATCAAATAACTTAAATATTAGTTAGCTTAAGTTATCCAATAATTTAAAAAGTTACAAATAACTTAAATGTTCAAAAATAAAGGGGCGCCTGGGTGGCTCAGTCGTTAAGCGTCTGCCTTGGGCTCAGGTCATGATCCCGGGGTCCTGGGATCGAGTCCCACATCGGGCTCCCTGCTCCACGGAAAGCATGCTTCTCCCTCTCCCACTCCCCCTGCTTGTGTTCCCTCTCTCACTGTGTCTCTCTCTGTCAAATAAATAAATAAAATCTTTAAAAAAAAAAAAAGTGATGATGAAGGGACGCCTGGGTGGCTCAGTCGTTAAGCGTCTGCCTTGGGCTCAGGTCATGATCCCGGGGTCCTGGGATCGAGTCCCACATCGGGCTCCTTGCTCCGCGGGAAGCCTGCTTCTCCCTCTCCCACTCCCCCGCTTGTGTTCCTGCTCTCGCTATCTCTCTCTCTGTCAAATAAATAAAGTCTTTAAAAAAAAATCTTTTTTCGGGCGCCTGGGTGGCTCAGTTGGTTAAGCGACTGCCTTCGGCTCAGGTCATGATCCTGGAGTCCCTGGATCGAGTCCCTCATCGGGCTCCCTGCTCGGCAGGGAGTCTGCTTCTCCCTCTGACCCTCCCCCCTCTCATGTGCTCTCTCTCATTCTCTCTCTCTCAAATAAATAAATAAAATCTTTAAAAAAAAAATCTTTTTTCAAAAATAGGGGTTTGGTTAAATTATACATGCCAATATAATAGAATATTATATAGTCATTAGAAGGATAATATAGATTTGTTTTACTGAGGTAGAAAGATGTTTACAATGTCTTGCTAACTTCAACACTACATGGTCATTACAATCCTATTTTTATCAAATATATTCCAGAATAAAATCTGGAAGGCCATAAGGAAAATATTACTAGTGGTTATCTCTGGTGGTGAGATTATGGGTAGGGGACCAAATAATTATTGCACAAACTAGGACACTTTTGAGAGTGAAAGAGAATACTATTAATAATTACCATGCGCTGAAAGGTGTCAATGGGATTGTAACACCTAAATCAGGATGTGAGATCGCCCAAACTGAGTGATTTTGACTTTTTTCCTTCCCTCCCTTCTTTCCTTGCTTTCTTTCTTCCATAACAATTATCTATCATTTGTTTGATTAAAAACAAAGGCAAAAGAATGGGATAAATGGGAGTTCTTTAACACAGCTTCAGTTGAATGAGGAGCCTATGTGAGTGGACACAGTGAAATACAATGGAAGTAGGGATTTTAGGGACAGAACAGAACAGATGGTAGCTTATGTAACCAGGTACCATCTCCAGAAATCTGCTTACTGTTTCTGGGTTGACGTACTTCAGATCCTGGTGTCTCCCTGACACGGTTGGCAGCACACATACCTAGAAATACCCAAGAACTGAAATAACAGCAAGTTTTCTACACCCCAATTTGAGATCAAAGACCTATATGTTGTCCTTCTTTCCAAATGACCTTTAAAACCCCATGTGGGGCGTGCCTGGGTTGAGTTTTTGACTCTTGATTTCAGCTCAGGTCATGATCTCAGGGTTGTGAGATTGAGCCTCGTGATGGGCTCCGCACTGGGCGTGGAGCCTGCTCAAGATTCTCTCTCTCCCTCTCCCTCTGCCACCACCCCGCCCCCTGCTCTCTCTCTCTCAAAAAAATAATAAATTAAAAATAAAAAATAAAACTCCAGATGCCTTCAAAAGAATCAATGGTCTCTATAATGCACATATGCAGCAATTCCATTTCTAAGAAGTGATTCTAAGGAATGAATTAAGGACTCACACAAAGTTTTAGATTTAGCTGCAAATATGCCCATCTTGGTATTGTTCATAAGGAAAAATTGTAAACGTAAATATCCTACAAGAAATTGGTCTAGGAGGGAAAGGGAAAGTAAATTGCCCAAGGTATACAGAATTAGAACAGGAATGAGGACTTGCAGCCTTGGAGTCGGTACAGCATGCAACTCCTGATTGTGGGGTTGTGAGTTCAAGCCCCAGAATGGGTGTGGAGATTATTTAAAAAATGTAAAAAATTTTAAAAAAAAATTATGGGCAGCCCAAAAAATGAAATACTGTACTATTAAAAATTATGAAATGGTGAAGCAGAATTGTTTATTGACATGAAAAGATGTTCCTGATACAGGGCGCCTGGGTGGCTCAGTTGGTTAAGCAACTGCCTTCGGCTCAGGTCATGATCCCAGAGTCCTGGGATCGAGTCCCACATCGGGCTCCCGGCTCAGCAGGGAGCCTGCTTCTCCCTCTGACCCTCTCCGCTCTCATGCTGTTTCTCTCTCTCTCTCTCAAGTAAATAAATAAATAAAATCTTTAAAAACAAAAACAAAAAACAAGATGTTCCTGATACATTAAATGATGGGGGGAAAAAACAGTGGATCACAAAACAGTATAAACCATTTTTTGTGAAAGAACAAAAAAATGTATTTGGGTATGTGCATGTGTGTTTGTGAAAATACATAGAAAAAAGTCTGGAGGAATATGTACCAAGATGTTAAAAGCAATAATATTTTTAAAAGACTTGAGGTATATTTCATTTTCTACTTTTTCTGTAATGACAAGTATTATTTACATAATTTTAATTTAAAAAGAAAAAAGTAAAAAGCCTCATACCTTCCCCAGTGCTCTGCATTTTCCCAGAATGAATAAGAAATACTTTCTCACTGGAAAGGCTTAGGGTCTAAATCCACCACCATAGCATCTTCAGTTTATCAAATAGTCCTTGGTGAGGATGCATAATTATACCTAGTGTCCTCTTCAAGCAAAGAAAAAAAGACTCAGATCCAAAATGACTCAATGGAATATAGGATGAATATAACCAAACTCACCTTGGAGAAATCACCAATCAGAGAGCCCTGGTTAGAATCTTCCTCCAGCATCTGAGTGATATTAATGTCACAGAGAGAGACTGTCTTCTTTAGACCTAAGCCCTAAGGATGACAAGATGCCCCCCACCGCCAATTTTCACGTTAAAGGTTTAAAAACCAGGAGAGGAAGGAGTGGAGACTTATTAAAAATATGCACACCCTTTGGGGAAAAAAAATGCACAAAGATTTGGCTGTAAAAATGAATATCCCAGCAAGTTTATAGTAGAGAAAGATTACTAATAAATAACAGTCTTGGTTAAACAAATCATATTTCACATTATAGATTACTATTATGCAATAAAAAGTTAGGTTGTAGATTAATTTCATTGACATGAAAATAAGTTCATGATATCCTTAAGAAAGTGAGAAAACTCATACTTTGTAATATCACTTTAATAAAAGAAAAAAGCCTGCATCAAAGAGTCTAGAAAAACATATACCAAGTGTTGACAATAATTATCTCTGGCCTATGGGATTATGGGCATTTCACAATAGCTTCTTTTGTTTATGTATAAATTCTATACTATCATATGCTGATTTTATAAAAGAGTATTCAGATTTTTTTTTAAAGGAGGGGTAGGGAATGACAGCTAAATTTTTCAAAAGTTGCCTCCCACCAAACCAGTGTGCTCCATGATGCGGTTTCTATCAGAATGCAGGTAAAACAGCTGTAAATATCCTTACCATTCCCAGTTTCCTTGTGTCCTCTCAAATCTTATAAAAGAAGGTTGGGAAGACAGTATGCCAACATCATTTCCAAAAGTGTAATATAACAGATATTTATTGTTAAATATTTTATATATGAGTACAGATGTAAAAAAGACAAGAAAGACATAAAGAACAAGGAGATAAAAGTAAAAGTAATGAGAAAGAAGACAAGATATCCTAAAGCAATCCTCATACCAAAAAAGCAGAGAACACAATGAGATAGAGGATTAAAAAGACTCTCATCTTAAAAAGTTCTTACCTTCCTGAGCTCTTTGTGGCTAGAACAATACTTTTTTTCTTTATCTGGTACTGGGTTGTCCTTGAATTTTACCACCTGCTTCAGCCTTGGCCTGTTCAAATTCTCTGGCAATGAAGGAGAGCGATACAAGGAGCTTCTATTCAGAGATGCCTGTATGGGAATATGAACCCCATATGTTCTTATTCCTCTAAGTGTGTCTGCAGGCCAGCAGCACGAACATCTCCTGCAAACTTGTTGGAAATGAAGAATCCTAGATGTTGAGCCTCACCCCAGACCTATTGATTTAAAATCTGCATTTTAGCAAGCTGCACCAGTGATTTCTAGCAACAATCAAGTTTGAAAGGCAAAACCCTAGGTAAGCAACCACTCTTCCCCTCCTCATTAACATCTTTCTCCTCAGAGTGCATGCTGTTCCATCTCCCCAAGATGTATTAAATCTAGCCAAACCAAATTCACCACCTGACCATCTTATATGTACCAATTCTTGTAGGAGAAAGCAAATGCAAGCTCAGTTCCTCCAGTCAAGTGAAAACCAAACAAACCTAATCCCACAGTTTCTCTATGGGATCCTAAGACTCTGACAATCAAGATTTAAGGACCCCAGCAAAATTGAAGATGACAAACCAAAAAGGTCAGCCTACGTAAAAAAATACTAAGCAGCAAGAGTATGTGTCACTTTTTTGGGGTAGTAGTTTCTTTGAGGAAGAAAGAAAAAAAGTAACTCAGCTTTCTTATAAAGTGGGTTGTTAATGGGAAAGAAAAATAGCAAAATAAGCATCATGCAAGGGAAAAGGGAACACCAGAATCTAGTATCAGGATGACCATTATAGGATTGATATTATGAAGCGCATCAGGAAAAAATGGATTAAATACCATGAAGAACTGGCCTTGGAAGTTACTAACTCAGACTAAAGTGCAAGAAGATGGACTACTGTCTCCCTGAAAGCCATGATTTGAGTGTTATAAACAGAAGCAGGGAGATATAGTAAACGACCTCTGATAACAACTTTCAACTAATCTAAGATTCTTTTTTTAATTTTAATTTTAGTTATCTCTATATCCAAAGTGGAGCTTGAACTCATGACCCCAAGATCAAGAGTCCCATGCTCTATTGACTGAGCCAGTCAGAGACCCTTCACCTAATCCAAGATTCTTATCCTCTATTCCCAGATACCTTCTACCTCTGCCCTACACGAAAGGCAGAAGTTCCTACTTTATACACTCACCTCGCTAACTACTATGGATTGATTTAGAAGGGGGGCTAGATAATAAGAGAGCCTAACTAGAAAACAAGTAGATGGTCAATGGTTTCTGGGAGAATAAAATAAAAACATCAATATTTTACTTTATAATAACTATATTTATTACAGTGTTTGTCACATCTGTGGTCCCATCTAAGGGAAACTCCACTGTTCCTGGTACCAGCTGAAGGTACAGTTCACATTTTTTTTTTTTAAGATTTTATTTATTTATTTGACAGAGAGAGAGACCACAAGCAGGGCGAGTGGAAGAGGGAGAAGCAGGCTTCCCGCCAAGCAGGGAGCCCGATGCAGGGCTCGATCCCAGGACCCTGGGATCATGACCTGAGCCGAAGGCAGATGCTTAACAACTGAGCCACCCAGGCGCCCCGGTACAGTTCACATTTTACATACCAATATTTTACACCTACCTGTCCCCTTGGATCCCTGCCAGTCAACTCCCTATGTCCTCACAACCCTACCCAGGGCCACTGACTGGCCCAGAGTGCTGTTTTGACATATCCATTTAGTAGACTAGAACATTTAAAAATAATCTGGGCCAATTAAGTTCTCTCTCCTGGGAATCTAACTTAGAAAATGACAAAATAATTAGGCAGCAACAGAAGCCAAAACTTAAAAGGAAAAGCTAAAAGATACGGTCAAGGCCATGACGCCAATGATGAATGCATGGATGAACCAAAGTTATAGTGGCAGAAGAGATGTGGTGAAAGATTGAGGAACAGGCTAGCCAGACTTCTTGACAGACTTCCCTTCATATAACTTCAATTTTGCCCTAAGAAGAAGGCAGGAAGAAGCCAGATCAGAATTTCAAATTTGATGGCCTTAGTGCAAACTTTGTTTCTCTTAACCAAAAGAGCTGCTCTAGAACACACCAAATTACTAAGCTAAGGGCTCATTCTATTTTATTTTATTATTTTTTAAAAGATTTATTTATTATTTTAGCTGGGGGGAGGGTCAGAGGGAAAGGGAGAGAGAGAATCACAAGCAGACTCCCTGCTGAGTGAGGAGCCGGATGCAGGGTTCAATCCCGGGCTGGACCTCATGACCCTGAGATCACGACCTGAGCCAAAATCAAGAGTCAGACACTCAACTGACTGAGCCATCCAGGCACCTCTAAGGGCTCATTGTAAAGAGTCTGGAATGAATTAGCTACTAAGGAAAACATTTCCATTTTTTAGTATTATATCTAAGAAATCTTTACCTAACCCACGGTCACAGAAATTTTCTCCTATGTTTTGTTCTTCAGATGTTTTATAGTTTTAAAATTCATATTCAGGTCTATTATATCCATTTTGTACTAATTTCTATATAAGGTATAAGGTATGGATTGAGGTTTTTGTTTTTCATATAGATTTTCAATTGCTCCGGCACAATTTGTTGAAAAGACTGTTTTCTCCATTTAATTGCTTTGTATCTTGGTCTAATTATCAACTGACCATATACGAATGAGTCTATTTCTCAAATCTCTGTTCTCTTGCATCAGTGCTTTAGGTTTCTGGTAGCTATTATCATGGTGATAATGAAGCCGATAAACATCTTTATGGGTTTCATATGGTCTAAAGGCAAGAATCCAGAAATAAATGATAGGAGAAAACTACTTTAACAAACAGAAACAGCCACTACTGTCCTGACAGATTCTTTCCAAAACATTTATATAAAAACAAATGGCAACTTACTGCAAAGAGCATACGTGTTTGGTCATGAAGGGATGATGATAGTGAGGATACTGTAGCTTTGTCTAGTCACAAGTTTCGCAGTTCTCAGAAGCTGGGGTGGGGGGAACCCAGGACCAGCTGGCTTAGATTGCATTCAACATCTACCCATTAGAGACTTTCCTTCTTTAAGGAATCAATCAACACTTTCAATATCTGGGAGTTTTAAGCATTGAAAAGGCCAGGAAGAAGAAAAGGAAATTTGCTAAGCTCAGTTCTACCTGCAGATTTTATAAAAAGGTTTAAATGAATAATCATCGTTTTGTAAACTGAGGAGACATCACCATTTCCTCATGGCCTACACACTCTTCAACACACGTAGACTTGCATCTGTTTGTACCACTCTACCGCTCTTGTCAAGGTTCTCAACAATCTTCATGTCACCGTATCTGAGTTGCTTCTTTAGACATCTATTTTTCTGAATTTCATAGTGGCTTCCACTGACTTGGCTACTGCCTTCTTACTTGGCTTCAATGGCACCTCCTAGTTTAGTTTAGTGCTAGTACAGGCAACCCCTTAACTAAAAGAACCATGATGATTCTACCTCTCTGTTGCTCCTTCTCAGTCTTCTTTGTTGGGCCTCCTCACCTACCAAACCTCTAATAGATGTTGGATTCATCCGGGTTAGGTCCTGGCCCTTTTTTATCCCCTCACTTTTGCCTTACATGATTTTTTCTACCTGTGAATTCAGATTTTCCCTCTATACAGATGACTCTCAAATATTTATTTCCAACCAAAACTTCTGCTCTTATTTCCAGATTTCCATATCCACATACTTGACTGACAATTTCTGAGTACCTACTAGGTGACAGAGCAGTGAATAAGGGAGTGGAAGAAACAAATATATGTACTATGAGCTTTTATGTAGTGGCATGTTCTATAGGTAAAAAATAGAGAAGAATGAAAAGATAGGAAACATATTTGGGTGGAAAGCTTGTCAGGAAAGGCCGTTCTGATAAGATGACATATGTGGAGAAATGAGACTAAATTGAGGGAAAAAATCCTGTTTTGCCTAGGGGAAGAATGTTCCAGGCTGAAGGAACAACAAATGCAAAGGCCCTGGTGAGAATAGCAAGGCCAGTAACGGCCACATTTGGTACGGTACCATTTTTAGAAAGCTCAAAAACTAACTGAAGCAATACCACAAACCAACTAGACCTAACAGACATCAAAAGAACACTGTACCCAACAATAGAATGTACATTCTTCTCAAATACACATGAAATATTCTCCAGGATAGATCATACACACTAGGTCATAAAACAAGCCTCAATAAATTTTAAAGCACTGAAATCATACAAAGTATGTTCTCTGACCACAATGGATTCATCAGAAGTTAATAACAGAAAAAAAAAATCTGGAAAATTCGGTTAGGTGGAAATTAAACAACACAATCCAAAATAACCATTGGGTCAACAAAGATCTTAAGGGAAATTGGAAAATACTTTTGGATGAATACAAATGAAGACACGGCACAGCAAAATTCATGTAAGGATAAAGCTAGAGTAGTGTTTAAGTGAAAATTTACAGCTGTAGGGGCGCCTGGGTGGCTCAGTCGTTAAGCGTCTGCCTTTGACTTAGGTCGTGGTCCCAGGGTCCTGTGATGGAGCCCCACATCAGGCTCCCTGCTCGACGGGAAGCCTGCTTCTCCCTCTCCCACTCCCCCTGCTTGTGTTCCCTCTTTCACTGTGTCTCTCTCTGTCAAATAAATAAAATCTTGAAAAAAAAGAAAAGAAAAAAAAATTTACAGCTGTAAAGGGCCATAACAGAAAAAAGAACGATCTCAAGACAATGACCTAACATTCCATCAAAAAAGAAACTAAATCTAAAGCAAGCAGAATCAAGGAAATAAAGATTACAGCAAAAACTCAATGAAGTAAAGAACGGAAAAACAAAAGAGAAAACAACAGAACGAAACCTGATTCTTTGAAAAGATCAACAAAATTGATAAACTTTTAGCTAGACTAACCAAGAAAAAAAAGAGAAGACTCAAATTACTAAAATTAGGAATAAAAGAGGGAACATTACTAGCAATTTTTCAGAAATAAAAAGGATCATGGGGAATACTATGAACAACTATATACCAATGAATAAGAAAACTCAGATTAAATGGGCAGATTCCTGAAAAGACAAAAACCACTGACACTGACTCAAGAGGGAACAGAAAATCTGACCAGACCTACAAAAAGTAGAGACTGAATTAGTAATTTAAAAACTTCCCACAAAGAAAAGCCCAGGTCCTGATGGCTTTACTGGTGAATTTGGGCTAACATTAAAGGAACAAAAACAAAAAACAAAAAAACCACACCAATTCTACACAAATTCTTCCAGAAAATTTAAAAAGAGAGAATTCTTTCCAAATGATGAAAGACATTACAAGGAAAACAAAACACTAAAGATCAATAACTCTCATGAACAGAAATACAAAAATCCTCAATAAAATTTCAGTAAATCAAATCCAACAACATATAAAAAGGAAAATACATCATAACCAACTAATGTTATCATAGGAATGCAAGGGTGTTTTAACATTCTAAGATCAATGTAATTGACCATATTAATAGGTTAAAAAAAAGAAAACTCACATGATAATCTCAATAGATGCAGAAAAAGCATTTGACAAAATCTATTATCTGTTCCTGCTAAAATCTCTTAGCAAACTGAGACTAGAAGGGAACTTCTTCAGCCTGACAAAGAGCGTCTCAAGGAAGCCATCACTAGAGGTGCCTGGGTGGCTCAGTTGGTTAAGCAGCTGACTCGATCTCAGCTCAGGTTTTGATCTCAGGGTTATGAGTTTGAGCCCCGCGTTGGGCTCCATGCTGGGTGTGGAGCATACTTTGGAGAGGAAAAAAAAAAAAAAGAGGGGGCACCTGGGTGGCTCAGTTGGTTGAGCATCTGACTCTTGGTTTCAGCTCGGGTCATGATCTCAGGATTGTGTGGGGCTCCCTGCTTAGCATGGAGTCTGCTTGAGATTCTTCTTCTTTTTTTTAATGATTTTTATTTATTTGTCAGAGAAAGAGAGCACAAGCAGGGGAAGTGGCAGGCAGAGGGAGAAGCAGGCTCTCCTGCTGAGCAAGGAGCCCGATGTGGGACTCAGTCCCAGAATCCTGGGATCATGACCCGAGCTAAAGGCAGACACCTAACCGACTAAGCCACCCAGGCATCCCATCTCCTTGAGATTCTTTCTCTCTCCCTTCTCTGCTCCTCCCCCTACTTGCACTCTTTCACTTTCTTTCTCTCTCTCAAATAAATAAATAAAATCTTAAAAAAAAAAAACAAAACTCATAACTAACATCATACCCAATGGAGAAAAACTGGATGCTTTTCCCAAAAGATCAGGTACAAGGCAAAGTGTTCTCAATAATTGTTAAGATTGCAAACCTTAAAGGCCCAAAGAATTGGAGAAGTATTAATCTAGGAGAAAGGGGAAAACTGAGAGCAGAAGAAGGAGAAAAAGAAAGCAGATTACCCCAGGAGCAGACAAGAGGAGATGCTTCCATGTGACTCAGGGGTTTTGCAAAACCTTTACAATGACCTACAAGGCCCTACATGACCTGTCCTTCTGCTACCTACTCTCTGGCCTCATCTACCACTGTGCACCTGCTCACTCTGCTCCAGCCACACTGGCCTTTTTGCTGTTCCATGAACATGCCATGCACACCCCACTTCAGAAGCACTGCATTTGATCTTTCTTCTGCCTAGAAAAATTCATCCCTTCTGATAACTGTTTGGTTCCCTCACTGCTTCGGATGTCTGTTCAAACAGCTGCAAGGTGTTCTCTAATCTATACAACCTATCCAAAATACCAATTCCCACTCTACACCAGCCCAATCCAGGTACTCCCTATTCTCTTTACCCTGCTTTTTTACCATAGTATTTTACCAACTGTCATATTATAAATGTATTTGTTTCTTTATCTGTTTCCTCCTGACTAGAATGTAAGCTCTACAAGACAACGGACTTTACTGCGTTGTTGTGTTCAGTACTGTATCTCCAGCATTCCTGAATGAAGGAATGAATGAACAGGAGGAAGTGCAGAGGGGGAGGGAGCTTCAGATAGGAGGAGCGACACTTATGCAGTATAACAAGAGAAATGGCAGTTATAAGGGTATGAGAGCAGATATGATGCTCTATTTGGTGAGAGAAGAAGGTAGTTTTCTTCTGACTGCTTCTGTTTTCCCTTTGAAATAAAAACACTTCAAATTCAACATGTCTAAAGTCATCCTTGATCCTATCCTTCCTTTACAACCTGTCTCTTCTGTATCCAAAATACCTTCTGAATTCATCCATTTCTGTCTCTGTAGCCACCTTAGTCCAGGCTATGACCAACCCTCCCTGAGACTACGCAAGAGCTTCCTATCCTACTCCAACCTGCTTCCAACATACCCCCACCTTCGAACTCTTAATCCTCTCTAATCCTTTCTTTATCCAGCAACAAGCATGGTCTTCATAAAACAAACGAGGTCCTATTATTCCCCTGCTGAATATCTTCTAACGGTTTCCCAATGCACTTAGAATAAAATCCACACACTCACCATAGCCCTAAGGCCCTGCATGATCTGTCTCCTGCTTGCCTCTTCCGTCCCACCTCAGGCAACTCTCCCCCTCCCTCACAATGGCTTCTCAGTTCCTTGTACACACCAGGATCTACTCAACCTTGGGACCTTTGCACCTACAATATTCCCTCCTCATGGAATGCTCTTGTCTCTAGTCATGTCATGTATGACCAACTCATCCAAGTTTGTCTGGGACTTTCCCAGTTTTAGCACTGAAAGTTCCAGGTCATAGGTACCTCCTCAATGGCAGGCAAACTGGGACAGTTTATCAACCTGTTCTCAACTAAATATCTCTTGCTCAAGGAGGCCTTTCCTATTTATTCCCATTTATTTATTTATTTTTAAGGATTTTATTTATTTGTCAGAGAGAAAGAGAGAGAGCACAAGCAGGGGGAGTGGCAGGCAGAGCAGGCAGAAGGAGAAGCAGGCTCCCCACTGAGCAGGGAGCCCGATGCATTATTCAATCCCAGGACCCTGGGATCACGACGTAGGCCGAAGGCAGACACTTAACTGACGGAGCCACCCAGGCGTCCCTATTTATTCCCATTTAAAGGTCCCCTTCTATTAGTATTTATCTCAGTCCCCTTTTTGTTTCCTTCATTACACTTAGACAATTTGCAATAATTAAATTATCTTGTCTCTTATGGCAGTCATTTGCAATTTGGCTAAAATTGGAGATTTAGTAAAATCTCAAATTCAGTGGGAGGCAGCCCTGCCTCCTAATAAGGAGGCCAAAAGGGGACAGATATTCCCTTTTCCATTCTCTTATAATCAACCAGATATTCCTGACTGGACTTTGAAAATCGAAGAATAACACAAAGCACAGGGTTGGCTGAGTCTTTTTTATGGTTGCAGCATCACAGTAGAGAATATAGTAAGTGGTAGCAAATGGTCCTGAGCAATACAGTCCAGCAGCAGGTTGGATTACCTTCTGGGGTAGGGGGCCAGTAAGGGTGACACTGAGAATCCAGCCAGTAGGTGGTGACATCCCAAGCACAATGACCCCACAGCAGCATTTGGCCAGGTCTTACCTTGTCCCAGGCTTCCTGGTAATTCTGAATTCCTCAATACCCTCCAGAAAAATCCCTTTTCTGCCTGAGGTAACTAGAAATTGGTTTCTTTTATTTGCAACCAAAAACTCTAACTAGAACATCTATTAACCTGACAAACCTGAGTTTGTTGTTGTTGTCGATGTCTCCAGAATATGAACTCCGAGAGGTCATAAACCTAGTCTGTATTGTTCACCATTGTATTACCACGGCCTAACACAGGGCCTGATATTTAACAGGTACTCAATAAATATTTTTTAAATGAATGCATCAGAAATCACTAAGGTTATACAAATCTCCTTGCTTTATCAGGTATCTATTTCCATTTAGCATCAAAGAGATAAACCCAATAACAAAAATCCCTACTCCTTTTCTATTCTAAAATCTACTGCTCTGCATAGTCTTATACAGTGTGCCCTCAACTGAAAATAATGCTATAAGAGTCACAATGCATTAAAATGAGCACATAAGGGGACTTAATATTTTTTAAACACCAAAAAAATACCTCAAAAAAAAACCTCACAGCTAGAACAAACAAAATTTCCAGATTATTTCCTGGGGTCAGTCTATTTTATTTTATTTATTTATTTTTTTTAAAGATTTTATTTATTTATTTGACAGAGAGAGACACAGCGAGAGAGGGAACACAAGCAGGGGGAGTGGGAGAGGGAGAAGCAGGCT